CGTCCAGCCGACGGGTGTTGGCATCACGGCCAGGGAAGGAGCCGGTGTCACCCGGCTGGAGCTTGGGCAGAGACTCCCCCCCCGGAGCAGACACCTCCAGCTCCAGCTGGAGCAGGCGGAGGGGTAGAAATTAGATTCTGCTTATTTTTAGTAAAGAAAATAAACAAATACACGAGAGTAACGCACTTCCTCCTGCTACTGTGCTTCCCAGGAGGGGCCAGGCTGCAGGAGGGCAGAGGAGCCGCACGAGATGGTTTTGCCAGAGGCCACACGAGGTGTCCTGCCCTGCTCCGACCCAACAACCACAGCACCGCTGCAACATGGAAAGGGCTGGCAGCAAACCCCGCGGTACCGGGAACGTGGTTCTGCTCCCACAGCCTGGATAGATCCCACCTGGGTTCCTCGATGGCCAAAGCTGCAAAGAGCCGAGTGCGGTGAAGCAGCATCTCCAGGCAGCACCAGCAACACTCTCACAAACCCCAGAACCGTGCGCTGGGCTTTGCCCGGTGCAGCAGCAGAGATGATGGTACTGACCCGGGCAGCGCAGGGCGGGCGTGCAGCGGTGTGCGATGCCTGGAACCGCTCCTGGACCCATGGAAACACCCCAGGGAGCGCTGGAACAGAATGTGCACAGCAGCAGAGGCATTACTTCAGACACAGGCTTGGAAGATGTTTGTATTTCCAGGGTGTATGCTTATTGTTAACTCCAGCCCCAAGGCCACTATTTTTAAGTGATAAATGTTTAAGCCACGTTTGCAGAGGAGAAAGCAGCAGCGGTTCCGCAGGGAGCTGTTGAGCTCTGAGCGTTTGTGCAGCCAGCAGCGACCCAGCGAGCTGCTTCCCGAAACCCTCCCGTGGGTACTCTGCACGGAGCCGAGCAGGAAAGAGTCACCTCCCCTCCTGCAGACCCCCCGGCAGTCCTGAGTGGTACGCGGGTGCCCACAGCTTGCTTCCTGCCTTTGCTAAGGCAAAAGTGAGTTAGCTTTCCTTTTTTGTTTCAGGAAAATTAAGGGGACTCCAGAGAAGGAGGAACAATACATTTAAAAATATTGGCCGGCCAGTGCTAGATCCCAGTCGAGCTGGAAAGTTAAATTCATCCCTGGTTGTAGGGACAGCTCACACTGATGTTACAGGACCAGTTCAAACACCTGCGAGCCTGCTGTCACGGCTTTCATTCCTCCCAGAGATGAAAACAAATCCTCGGGTAACAGGTGTCTTTTTACAGACAGGACTTGGCTGGTGCGAGGGGAAATCCTGGAAAGCTCCGGCCGGGTACGTCTCGCCGTGCTGCCCCTCGGGTCCCGGAGCCTCCTGCCAGCAGCTCGTCCCTGTCCCCGCAGGACGGGGCCACCAGCTCCTGCCCAGCTCGTCCCTGTCCCTTGTCCCACACCAGGGGCACCTGGGGAAGGTCTGCACCAGGAAAGGAAACGAGGAGAAAGCTGACTGAAAACAGCAGATACAGCTGCTTCAGGCACAGCAAGGTCTCCATCTGCTGCCGATTATTTATTCCAAGAACACAGAACCCGCATCAACCCGAGTGCTGAAGCTGATTAAAGTGAAGCGTCGGTACAGTCAGGACCTTCCCATCTTACAATCACTTTTTTTTGGGTCAGCGACATTCACAACAGAAGGGACAGCAAGTTCAACCACAAATTCCTTTCTGAAATGACAATTCCTCCAGAGACCCCAAATTAAACAGCTGCAGCATCTCCGCATCCAGGGAAGCACGCCCCAAAAGGGATGTGCGAGAGGAGATGGGGAGATGTCACGCTGGAGATGGCTGTAGTTCATACACTCACCAACGCTCTCGTACAACGTATAAAAACCAGACACAAAAGGTACCAGCAGTAAATGGACATACTGTATTTATTGCACAAATTTCCCCTAAAATTGGGAATGGTTATTATAATACAAGTGCACATCTTGGGAAATATATACAAAACCAGAAGAGATAACAAGTATGTACATTTTACCCAGCATTTTACAAGTACCACCATCTAAATAATTTAGAGAAAGCAAAAAATTGTCATAAAACATCTATAACAACTAATAGGGAAAACATACGCGAAGTGTAAAATCCTTTCTTTTAAATATTTCTTTTGTTCTTAGCAGCCCAGTGTTTGCCAATTGCAACAAAACCAAATTTGCTCCTTTGCCTGCCTAGAACACTGAGTTTTCAGCCAGAAAATTAAGACATGTTAATGGAGATTGGTAATAGTAGAAAAAATAAATCAAACGTTAGTCGTCTATGCACATAAAACAATCGCGATATACTTTTTAAAAGTCGATGCTATAGCCTGTGAAAGATCCCTTTTTGTATTATTTAACAAACAGACAGACGTACCGCGCTGTTCACGTACCCTAGAGGTTCACTTACAGAATGAGTTCCCATCCCGCGAGGGTTCTGGGTGCGTTTTGACCACAACACTGCTCGGGAGGGTGCCACCGCCCCGAGAGCCGCTGGTCGGACCTGGGGGCTCGGCGGGGACCGGCACCGTGGGGCTGACACCGTGGCCACTCCACCTGGGACTGACTCAACGCATCGTTACGACGGTGCTGCCGGGTTGCGTTAGGCAGAAGGCAGCAGAGGAGGATTCCACCCAACAACCACCTTTTTCTCCTTCTGGAGTTAATTCTAATGTCAAGCTCTGCAAGGGCCTTTCTTGGGAGTCAAATCCATGTCAAAGCACCACCAAGAATTCACCTAATAATGATTAGATGGAGGAGAATGGGATTTTCCTGGAAGGATGCATCATAAGCACAGTCCTGGAGGTGCCGGGGTGATGGAGCGGTGCTGCCCAAACGTCTGGACATGTGCTGCCGACGAACCCCCCTAAGGGACCTATGGACGAGCCCCCGTAAGGGACCTACGGACGAGCCCCCGTAAGGGATCTCCACGGAGGCACGGGCAGGAGCGCATCCTCCGGGTTCCTCACCCAAGACCCGGCAGCACTGTAACGTCGCTGGGTTACAGCGGCAGATCTACGTACAACATCCAGAATCGGAGCTATGGGCTGTAGAACGTATCAGAGCCAAGAGTTTCAAATGACACTGCCTGTGTTAATGTTTGGGTGACTACTAACTTAGACTCGGGCCGACACGGAAAGGGGTGTGGGCTTGCCACGGAGATCTTCCCTGGAACAGAGTCTGAAGTTTGAGATTTTAAATATCACTGAAAAAACATGCTGGGTGAAATCCTGGCCCCAGCCAAGGAAGGGAGGAGAGTTTTGTCGTGGGGCAGGGATCTCTCCTATTGTTTTCAAGTTTATCAAATGGTTAAAAGCTATTTATATTTAAAATAACTCCGCAAACAACAATAGCAGGTGTGCTATACTACTGAGAAGATGATTACAGAAGGACATATTTATAGAACTGTTTACAGAGTCCTGCGACCAAGCGAACACACATCTCCTACCTCTGTGGATAATCCATCAATATACTGAACCTGACAGATGAGAACAGAACCTAGAAATCAGCAACGTGAACTGGCTGCTAGGACAAATACGCAAAGAAAAGCCGATAATGAAGTGTCCAGTTAAACTGAGGTAGTAGAGCCTTTGAAAACAAAATCCACCTACCACTGGATATTTACATTACTTACACCAGACTGGGCCCATCAGCTATTCGTACAACTATTGTATATACAATGACAAAACAGAGATGGCTGAGTAGAGAAGAAATGCTGAGAATAAAATAAACAACGTTTCCTGCTGGTAATTACACGAGCGAGTAGAAAAGGGATTAGAGTCATCTGCATCGAGGGTATATTTGTCAAAAAATAATTTTGATATTCTATTACTATGCTGTAATCAACGTTCATTTTTTGTAGAATGGTTTTAAAAAATATATCAATTAGTTACCTGAGCAATTAAGGGTAATAATCTATTAATTTTTTTTTCCCCAATGCTTTGGTACAATTATTTCTAGTTCATTATTTCAATAGCTGACTGACTGCTGTAAAAAGAATATGATGTTGCAAGAACATTACAGACCATAAAAAAGTTAGAGGTAATAGTCACGTCATTCTGGGGACCCCGTGGGGAAATTTCAGCCAAGGTTTGCTTTAGATATTTTTTCTTTTTTTAACATTTTGATTTACGTTGTGGAAGAAAAGCATCACTTAGTATAAAGCAACATTTAAACATTATAAACATTTAATACTGGTTACAACATCCAGCCAAGAAAGAGAATCCTATCACTAGTCTGTCTGCTGGCCTCTTCCTCCCTCCTCTCTGTCCCCCTCTGTACCCCCCCGCTATTCCCTCTCCCCAGGAGAAAGATCATAAATAAATTTGGGAGCTGAGTGCCATTAATAAGCTTTTTACAAAACAGCCCAACCCCTCCCAACCCCTGCTCTTCCTCTGGGAAGTGTCCAGAATTTGACTACGACATGACAAAGCAGAAGGTGTTTACAAGTCATCGCAGCTTGAGAAGCACAGATCTCCACGAGACCCTCCTCAGGAGAAGCCAGTCCGAGACAGCTGCTGCAGTCTCTTGTGAAGTCTGTCACTGGCGAGAGCATCGTGTATTTCTCCAAGCAGTTCTTCCTCGCGCTCCCCAGTATAAATTACAGTTTGCCACTGTGGCAGAAAGTGATAAAAAAAAGGGAACATCTTCAGCTTTTCATAAAATCTTTGCTTTTCTGTGGCTGAAATCTTGGGCTTACTCATTTATCTTTTTTTTTTTTTTTCCTTTCTTTATCCTTTTTTATAAATGGCCAAGCGGGAGAGGAAAAGTCTCCAAGTGTTTGCACAACGTGCAGTCATATATGGAGGTGCTGCAGCTCAACGAGCAGTTTGTTTGAATCGCTTCAAAGAGAAAGGAACCAGAACAAGTTGTCTTCCACTTTGTTTCCAGAGGGGAAAAAAAGTCAACATCTGTGGCCTCTGGCATTTTAAAGTAGTATCTGGGCAACGTACGGAGAGTGAGTGCTCGCTACAGCTGCCAGTAAAGGGAGGTCGCTGGATTCAATCCTAGAAGGAAGCACAAGAGTCACATTTAACCCAGCCCCAAACGTAGCGGGGCTGCACGCGCGCGTCAGCAGCCACAGTGCCTGCTCCAGCCCCAGGGTTTGCGTTTGGGCCGTGAGCGTATCCAGCTCCCAGGGCAGGACATCCTTCAAGGAAAATCCGAGCCAACTGTGCCTCTCTCCTAAGGCGCCGCTGCAGCTGGGCTCCGTGCTCCTGCCACCAGCTTGTTTCTGACACCCCCCAGCCGTGCCTGCTCCTGCTGATGAGTGACTGTCAACGCTGCCTCAGCTCCTACCTGCCTGGGGTTTTGGTTTTTTTTTCTTTCACAGGGCCAACAAACTGGTGAGAAAGCAGATGGAGGGAGGGAAAACAGCAGATTCCTTCCTACCCTTCAAAGTAAAGGGAGGAGTAGGTGGGGGACAAGGTGCAGGAGCAGAGGACTCTGCTAAACTACTTCTGCATCTCACCCTGCTGCAGCTGCTGCCCCAACTCCAGCTCCACACGTGCTCCGTGTGCCTTCCTGCTCCCCCGTTCTCCTCTGCACAAAAAGATAACCCAGAGCCTTCCTATAAACACCCCTTAAACAGCTTCTCTGCCTGTGCCCCACACCCCGAGGGGCATTATGTGCCCTGCACGACACAGAGGTGTTTTCTGCCACATAGGGAAAGCCAGCCTGGAGCAATCGGGTGCCCGACGCTGTTCAGTGACGACTGACCCACTAAGGAAGGACTCTGACAAGCTCTGGAGTGCTGAGCCCATCCTCCTGCCCGGAGGGAAGAGAGAAAGGCTGGGGGGTCCTCAGGACCAAGCAATGGGTAAGGAGAAGCCTGTGGCCATGGGTGATTTATGCCACCCTACAGTTCCAGCCCCATTTGGGAATTCATTTCACCGTGCTTAGAACAAGCCCAGGCGCAGGACTTGGCACCAGGAAACCCCAGGCAGCACCGCTCAGAGGAAGGTTGTGATCGTACCCCAGCACCACGCCCAGCTCCTTGACGTGAACTCTCATCTGGCCTTTGAGATACTCGGACAGCATCTTGCTTTTGAAATAGAGCTCCTGCAGCCGATCCTCCAGGTGCATCACACACTAGAACGCAAAGGGAGTCGTGTCAGGGAGAAACCAGCGCTTTACCCAACCTGCACCCAGCCTCAGAGCAAACCAGCACAGAGCCCGTATGCCTACTGCCTTTTCCCTGGCCGTGTCTAGGTGAATAATTAGTCAGAGATTCACTGGCAAGAGTCTTACTTTTGAGCAGAAGCCTTTGATTGCATGTTAAATCAGAATTAATGAGACAGCTGCCTTGGTTAGAGAGTAGCGTTGAAAAACCAGCTCCAACATCAGGGGACACTGGCTACTGAAACTGTGGCTAGGGATAAATGAACTAGGCAGAACCTCACAACCTCTTTAACCTGTGAACATCCTTTCAGATGCTTTGAAAATGTTGCCCCCTCGGTTGTCATTTATACTTACGAAGTTTGGAGATAAATTATGCTTGTAAAGCTGAAGAGTGGAATGAAGCAGGTTGGAGACGAGACTGGAGACTAACACCTCCTTTCCCAGTTTATTATCAATCATTCGTCTCTGGCTACTGGCCACTTGCACCGTCCACTTGTCCGTGTCTGCAATAATGCAGACGGCTTCTGCGATCGGTTCATCCAGAACAGGATGCTAGAAACAAAAAATGAATAGCAGAACCCTGAGAATGACAAACGACAACTGTCTTTTCACAAAACACTGTCACCCTGGACAGCAGGGACAGCATCCCAGACACTGCTTCATCTGAAATCCAGTGACATCTGCTAACGCTGCGTTCCACCCATTAAAAACTGAGCTTTACTGGAAGCACAGCACAGCTTAGAAGGACAGTCACTATTTTACATTTTCTTCCAGGCTTGCAAGTGTGTCACTGGCTGACAATTATCTTTTGATATTTCATATAAAGAGTTCTGACAGATCTAAATCATATTTTAAACCCCTAAACCAGAAAGCACCAAAAATCCAGCTCGCCGTTCAGCACGGCTGTGTGAAGGAGGTCGGTTTTAGTCCCAGTTGTCACTGGTTTCCCTTACAGGAGGGCCAGCAGAGGGAGTCAGGAACCCAGCCTGCGCCCAGCTCCTCGCTTCCTTCCCAGCAGCGTTTCACCTCTCTAAAGCCTCAGACGTTTTACAAAGCATGTGGAGCCCCACTGTCCTTCCCCAAGACATTTTTTAGGCTGGACTGTTGGGAAGCACCTCTTTCCAAAGACTCCCACAGCGACAGTACCGTGGGGAACAGGACTGTTGGGAAGCACCTCTTTCCAAAGAGTCCCACAGCGACAGTACCGTGGGGCACGGCCGTGCCATCTGCGTACGGTGTGATGCACGCTGTTAACTCCAGAGGTGTGGAAGAACATTTCGGAGGCTCCCGGGGAGCGCTCGGAGAAGCAGCCTGCCTGCTCACCCGTCTGCACACCGGTCTCTCCCCTTGGAATAAACTAGATATAGTTTACTCCCCTCGGAATATTCCCCTTGGAATAAACTCCCTTGGGAATAAACTAGAGGGGAGGAGAATCACGCTTTTCAGTGACAGCCTGCCTTCCCCTCCTCTCCTGGTGACAATAGAGGCGTAGGGAATGCCACACTTCTTGGTCATGCCCCAGTTCATCTCGGGAAAAGCTTCTGCAGAGAAGAGATGATTTCCAGCACACGAGGACTGTGAGTCCACTGCAGCAAGACCCTGTGCCTGGCCAGAGACGCGCAGCAGCCTCAGCGCTTGGTCTGGTTTAACATCATGCCGTCCTGTGGGCATGCAACCAGCGGCAGGCTGCCGTGTCGGCAGGAGATGATGGTTTCTCTGCAGCTCAGCACAGAGATCCACAGGGCCCAAGCCTCTCAGCTGGCTTCTAAGTTTCTGTGCTCCGGTGAAATAACCGTGTTTTTCAGATACATTAATTGAGAGAGGAGAAAAAATTGGTGACCTGGGACTGGAGAAACCTGAAGAGAGCTGCGACAGTAAATATTT